CATACGGCGCCGACGGGCAGATGGCGAGAGGAGGGGCTGGCGGAGTCGGGGATGAGGAGCTGGGGAGGGGACTGGGGTTTGCGAGGGGGGGACATGGTGCGATCTGCGGGTAGCTGAGAGGGAGGCCAGGCTGGGGACTCGAAATGGAGGTTTTCAAAGTTGTGGGCCATGTCGAGGCGGGTAGAGGAGGAGAGAGGGTTTGGGTTGCGAGAGGAGGAGACGGAGGAGGCACGGGAACGGGGCTGGTTGTTGTCGTCGTTTCCGCCATTGGAGGAGGGGGAGGAGTAGTCAAAGGGGGAGTGGTGGTGGCGGTCGATGGGGGCGGGTGTGAGGGAGAGAGAGACGTGGGGGTGGTCGAGGGCAAAGGGGCCGTCGAACATGAGGAGGGCAGACGAGTTGGGTGGATCGTACTCGGAGGGGTCGTAGTCGTCTAGCTGCTGGTCGTCGTCAAAGAGGGGAAAGTCGGCGGGGTCGTAGGAGAGGTCAGAGTGGTTCGAGTAGGGCGAGTTCTGGTATGAACCGTTGTAGGAGGGGGTGTGGGGGAAGGGGGGACTCTGGAGATGTGCAAAGTCGTACGGGTCAAAGTCGTTGTAGACAGCCTCTGTCTCTTGGAGGGACGCCATGTCGGTTATCGATCAGAGGTAGTCCAAGAGAAATGCAGTGCACCACCTCTCGCCCTTTCAAGGTCCGATGTCTATTTATCCTTTTCACACCCCGGCCACGGCAGATGCCAGTCACCTCAGCTCTAAACCATGATAGATGCATTTCCTCCCATCCTCGTCACCCCTCGTCTACCTTTGACACTCTTTCGTTGCATCCCGGGAGAAAACCCCCTGATGAGCCCCGGATGTATGTGACATTCAAAGTTGTCGACATGTCGGTAAACGTCGAGGTCAAGCATGACCGTGTCGGTGACAGCTCCATCTCTCCATCTGGCACCTCAAGAAAAAGGACATCCAAATGCCAATAACGAGCCAGTCACTACCTCAACGTGCGTCCCCATCTTCGCCTCCATCCCCATCTCGAACGAAAAAAGAAAAAAAAAAAAACGTTTCCCTCCCCAGACGCTCAGGCTCGCACGATCGTGGTGGTGGTGGGTGTCGGTCGTCAACGCGTCGCCCTTCTGGCCATCTGGCTTTTGCGTGCTAGGTCGCTTTTGGACGGGTCTGGACGGTTTGGGGGGCGATTTTTGGCGCCCTTTGATGGAAGGGGTTTGACGTTTTGGACAGACGCGGTGGGACGGATGATGAACAGGTGATGATGATGATGGAGGAGGATGGATGATGGATGATTAGACACCGTGGCGGTTCTCGATCTGTCTGCAGAGGTTTTTACGGGGACCTCACGAGCTTGGGACGACGGGGACACAAGGAGCGCCGCTTTCCTACGTGCTCACTCCCCTCTCCCAAAAAGGCGACAAAGTGCTGTCCTGCTCGACCACCCAGCGTGCGTGTCCCTCTAACATGGCTCCAGGGGCCGTGCTCCCACTCGAGTCGAGTCGCGTTCCGAGTCCATACCTCTCCGTCAACATGTCCACCCGGCAGACATCCGCTTCACGCACTGCCACTCGCAGCTCAAAGTATGCCAAACAAAGGTGAGGGATCCAATCAACTTGGTCGCATTATTGTCCTTGCTATTGAGACGCATCCTGCCCCCCCTTGCTGTATGCGATGTGTCAATATCATCATCTGTGCGCGACAGGCAATCACTTTTGATCGCGATCATGTCAGGTCGTGGCCATGCACGCCTCAGTATCACACTCGATGACCAGTCCAGATAATAACTTTAAAAACTTGACCTACCGGTCAACCTGTCCAAAGCTTGAAAAGTTATTTCGAGGCTTTTTATTTTTATTTTTATGCGGAAGCACTGCTTGGGAGTATCGAAAAAAATGAAGGTTTTGTCCCCACTGCCTGCCAGTGAGTGACTGCAGACTGCATCGTTCATTGTCATACCCGCAAACACGGCCCAGGGCATTGTCAAAAGTTGAATCCGTACTCGACTCGGCGCGCTCAACATGCCAAACTCAATGGTGACATCGTCTGACGGTGTCCGCTCAAGTCACCGGTCTGCCGTTTGTTGACGCTCGGTTTGACGTGAACGCGTGAGCACGGACGACACTCAGGCTGGTCTGGTTGGGGGTACTATCTTGCACACGCACGGTCTTGGATCTCGTCCCCCCAACGTGGCGAGTTTGTCATTCGACGGAAATAGAGTGCTGACCCGACTGACATGGATGGATCTTGCTAAGCTCTTGGAGGTTGCCCAAAAAAAGAAAGAACGAAAAAGAAAGAAGAGAAAACAAATCAAGCTAGAAGACGCTGGGCGCCTGCGATACTGATAGGGGCTTGGCTCTGATCATGCGGTCCATGACTCATGTCCTTGCGTTCTGCCGTCAGCGCAAAAAGATGGCATATGATGCAGCCGCAGTCTGTTCATTTTTATACAATCTTATCGAAACCGTTGATGGGATAACGTACGATGGTTGTGTGAGACGGCATTTTGAGACTTTCAAGTTTTGCGCACGCAGCTATGTTCGTTAGATATTATGAATCTGGGGGGACAGAGGACTGAGATGCCGATAACGTGGCGCGGCAGAACTGGAGACCTTGGGAGCATCGATGCAATGTCATTTTATGATTCAACCTACAGCAACTAATCTACCTCGTCTGAGGGTATGTTCAGGGGCGACGGGAATGACGCGGTCAGGTGATGCCTCGGCTGGCTGATTGCGGTGACAAAGCATCTCAAAGCCGTCGATGCCGCATCACGACGCAAAGAAGATAACGTCCACTTCTCGTCCACACTGGGAAGAAGATGGCAGTCAGAGCCAGGAAGTAAACGTGTACTGGTGGATGCCGATAATGATTGTGTAACGCAAAGCTCGGACGGACATGTGAGGCCTGAGGACAATGGGCGGCGGAATTAACGACCGTCAGTCTGTCTTGCATTGTCTGCTGTAGCGTCCAACAGTAATCATGGTATGCGAGAACACAAGCGACGCGGCCTCGGCGACGGGATGCCAGTGTAACACGGAACACGTTGGAGGTCATCTCCACGCGTCTAGATTCCTCTTGTTGTTCGGCCTATCGGTAAAATCGGATGGGCGTTGGTGGGCGTGGGCTGTACGGGGAGGAAGGGGTGATTGTAGCTATCCTGACTTGACAGCGTCATTGGAAACCCAGAGGGCAGATGTAACAAAGAGCTTCGAGGAACGTAAAGGTTGCGAGCGTACTAGGTAATCGCAGCTCGATCATCATGACGAGAGGTGCGGCGAATGGAGTACTGATCAGCCAGAGTCGCGTTTTGCTTTGTTTCCGGAGTGATTCAGAACAATCTCGACCCGGATGAGTAGATTGCCCCCCTCGGCTGTGGTTGTATACGACCATGCAGTGTTTGCATTTGAAGGGTCAAAAGACGATTGGTGAGGAGTGACTTGGCCTCGGCGACGGGATGCCAGTGTAGCACGGGGTGCGTTGGAAGTACTCTGCACGTGTCTGATTTCCCTTGTTTTCGGCCTATCGGTACACTCAGATTGGTGGGTATGGGCTGTACAGAAGGTGGCTGTCACTATCCTGTCAACATCATGGAAACCAAAGGGGGGAGGTGAAACAAAGAGCCTCGAAGAACGTAAAGGTTGCAAACGTATGTAATCGCAACTCGATCATGATGACGAGAGATGCGAAAGCGTACTGATCACCAGGAGTCGGGTTGGTTTGGTTTCCGGAGTAGATTGGAGCAATCTTGGATTAGTACACCGTCCATACGACCATGCGGTGTTTTCATTTTCAAGGTCAAAAGATAATGGGCAAGAAGCTGTAAAGCTGTGGGCTCATTGTTCAGAGGGATTGCTGATGGGCACAATAACAAAGAGCAGGATTTACCTTTGACAGGATAATAATCCGTTGGCGGTGCAGCATGGACAAGGGATGATGGCAGTTAGTCGCGACAGCGTACGCTACGTATATGGAAGTAGAGCTCATTGTAGACATACAACATAGCGATGAGTATTGTGTGGACGCATCCGGAGATCCTTGCTCAGCCCAGTCAAGACTATTCAATTGAAGCTATACACTTCAAAAAAAAAAAACGGAAGTAAATTGATGGTAATTGTCGAAAGTAAAAGACACATGCCGATAGTCACAATGAATTCGAGAGCACCAATCCACGGGATCACCATCCAATGACTGACGTCCATGGAACTATCGTTCGACTGCTACATAACAGGAATTAGCGAACCAATGCCCCGACACAGCACTAGTATAGATACCGGTACAATGTGTTATTAAGAGACATGCGCTAAAACGAGGCGGTGGTTTTGCGCAGCCCTGTGGGATGATCGGACATGCAAATACAATGACCATGCTCCAACGATAGGGGGTCAGCTATAATTTACATTTTTGTATTTCTTGTCAAGTACACACCAGATAACTCTCAAAACGTGCCCTCCGGTTGATTGTCTTGACCCCGAGTTAGACGCTAAAATCAAGCCCTGAAAGCCTTTCGAAGGCAAGAAGCAGAATATCAATTTAACTGCTTGCAAACTAGTATCTCACAGTTGCAGGTGGGCCTCTCACGTAGTATTCCCTGTAACGCGCTCCCGGGACACAACAAACACCGGAGAAGACTGCGATCTCGGCGGCACCGCTGCGAGTTATAATCAACGATACGAAAGATACCATATCGTGATTCCTTCTCCCGCGTGGCTTGCTTCCTTGACGTTCTTTTCACAGCACCGGGCATAACGGGGCTTCTCCCGCGCCTAGATATCTATGTATACATGCATATCTCGAGTGTATGACAGTGATGGACTTGCTTTCAACTTCATATCAAGGTTTTCGCTGCTAGAGTCCACGCCGGGAAAGACGAACTGTCAGTTCCGTTTAGAATCATGCCGATGGACACCATAGCATTTCAAGCCATATCTCTTCATTTTCCTGATATCCATGGGCCATCGGCGATGGCCCATGGATCCAAACGAAGACATTGCTGATCCAAATGCTAGTCTGAAACACGAACAGTAAATGATGGCACGTTTGAGAGTAGTACTAAATAAGTTATGCATAATCATCAGTACGTACTGTATCCAAGCCCAAAGATTATAAACACCATCGTCAATCCTGGCATTGTGGCGCCCTTGGGCGCTGATGCGTGGTCCATTGTGCCTTGCGTTCAAGGTCAGCTGGGCCTGATTTTCAAAAATAAGTCGTGGTTAAAAGGGGCGTGTACAAGGGGAAAGACGACCGGATGATGGCTTGTTCGGTCCTTGCCGTTATGTTGATACCAATGGTCCCCATGAGAAATGTGATCCCCTACAAGATACATTCAAGGATGATCGATCTGTTGCCAACTGGTGAATAGGATGAATCTGGTAATGTGGTCGACTTAAGCGCGTGAGCACTCCCACAACAACTCGCTAAGTACATCCTTTGTGATGGCTCAGTTAGCGCTCGGTGTATAAGAAAGAGACCGTTAGGAACTTACCGTCGCGAAGTTCTTGCTATAGTTTGAAGATCACCGGATTCGTACTCGCTTGTGCGTATTGGTGACATCCATACGATACTGATAATCCCTTGGGTAAAGACGAAAAGATATCAGGCACTGACGCTGTATGGAGTTTTCCCAAAGAGATTCGAGCTTGTGACTACGACGGCGTTATAGATACCAGACTTGGGTTGGCGTGAAACATGATTGATTGCTGCCTTTAGCCGGAAAATTTTCAATGAGGACCTCTTTCCATTATTGCAGAGCACGGGGGAAAACCCCCGTCAACAATATATCCACTCCCCACAGTGGAGAGCCTACGAGCTAACTTACCTCGGTTTGTATCCTACCAATCTCCAACAAACCACGTCCATGGACCGCAGCCGAGAAACAGACAACGAAACACGAAACACGAAACGTGGGAGCCAAGTTGGCCGAAAAATCAATCCATCCCACGCAGATACTCCCAGATCAAGAGGTGAAGTGTTTATGGGCGCTGATGATTTGATGCCCGCTGCCCCTAAATGGCTCCGCTGGTGCTAGTTCCATGTTTGATTTTAATGGCAGACTCCGAGCTTTCATTGGAGAATAGGCACGAAAGGAAAGCACTCTTATTAAAAACGGAGATTGCGCGATAGAGCCAAGGCACGCACCTAACAGCTGGGACACGGATTCTCTTGGCGAATTTAGATATCCGTAACATGTCCTCGTGAGCATATAATTGTGGCATGTTGAGATGCGGTGATGCGCGTGATACGAAGAGTGGGACAGCGAACGAGTGATTTATGAAAAAAGTTGCAATTCGATTGATAGCTGTCGCAAGGAAATACAGCTTAAGCTTAAACAGACCGTCAGTGAGGTCGCCTGACGAAGCCGGTGATATTATGAGATGAGGATTGGATTATTGAACTAAAAGTGTGAAAGCAATGTTCAATATTGCAGGTACTGTACCTGACGTAACAGAAGGATAGCAGGTAATGCGACAACTGCGGAAGGCGACAACGTGTTCAAGTGGTTGACTGCCAATATAAGCATGCGATGATCGGCGTATGAATCCACCGTGGAGAGAGCAAGTAGCACGTAAATGATGACATTGCAGTCTGCACTGTAACATTCCATAACCGGAGTTCGCTTTGTCTGGGAATGCGGGAGAGGGAGAGGCGGATTTGTTTGTAGTTATACTGTTATAGGGCATGCTGCATTCTTCGTTGAGCGAGTCATGGGCCCTGGCGGAGGGCATAGATGCCACAGTATTCCTTGCACCTGATACTATAAAAGTAGGAAAGGCATTGATATGATTGGGAGTCGCGGCAACCTATGAGTTGGTATTATTACAAAAGGATGCTGCAGAGCTAACGGAAACTGTTCAATAAAATAAATCATTGGCACTATACGAGAGCTAGTACCTTTAGTCGAAACGCTGTGAAAGCAACTTTTAACAGGCCACCCGCCAAACTAAATACCTTGCATTTTTGCCAGTGTCATAGTCAAAGTGCGCCAAATTTGGCCTGATTTATCATAGCTATTTAGCTATTCAATGGCAAATCCAGTTGCACAGAAGGACAGGACTCAAGAAGTACTAGTAATGTTCTGAAACATTAGAGTTGGACAGAGGAAAAGGTCGACCAGAAAATTGCAAAGTCCGAGGCAATAAAAATCCCGAGTTCCGAGTGTAGCAACTCCTTGCAACTCGACCTTCACCGCAGATGACGATACCAGTACTATATTCAAGTAGGATTCGCCGTAGCCGTTTACTCTAACTTTTCTGAATTACACCACTAATCCGAACCTCGCAGCTTGGATGATAAGCACCAATCATAGAAAAAGGTTCTATAGTCATGTACGAGTTTGACAGTTCTTCTCTTCCAAGTTACCACGACTTTGATGATAACTACGATACTTTCCACTGCAGTCTGTATCGTAGCCATATCACCATCGCTGTAGCATAAATAATGCCAGTAGATCCCGACAATCATTGGTACGCTACTATCAACTTGGATCTACCGTGGCGCTTACCGAATCCCCACTTAGTTCGTATAAGGTTTTTCAGGAAATACTTAACATTCTTCGTCAATCTAGCATTGCAAGGCATGACAGCAACGACACCCGGTCTCGTTTCTGGGCAACATACGCCAAAGAGTCCTCAGAGTTCGATGATGAATTTCTCGGAAGGTATAAAGGTGACATGGATATTGTTTTGATTGCTGTAAGCTCTTTTTTCTCATCTCGAGGCGTATCAGCAGCTAACTAAACTCCGCACTCTACAGTCAGGCCTATTCTCTACCGTTAGTACATCGTTCATCGTCAGCCTGGAGCCTGCACTTGGTCCCGACCCAACTGAAACCACAAACGCACTTCTCAAGCTTTAGTCTGGCTGCCAGTCTTCTCGCAGCAGTTGGAGCGATGCTGGGAAAACAATGGCTCAGCCATTACAAACATTTTGGAAGGGGTAGCATTGACTCTCGAGGACGACGCAGGCAACGCAAGCTTGATGGTTTGAAAATATGGCATTTCGAAGCGGTTTTAGACATCCTGCCTGTGCTGCTTCAGGTGTCATTATTATTCTTTGGCATTGCGCTTGCGGCATATCTATGGACACAACAAAAAACTATTGCGTCTGTGGTTATAGGTGCTGTGGGCTTTGGAGTTCTTTTTTATATCGCCATTGTCATTTCATCGCTGGTTTATCCTAGCTGTCCTTATCAGACTCCAACGTCGAACGTTTTGAACACACTTGGATCATCATTCTGTGCTGCTAGTAAATCCTTCGAACCCTTGATCTATAGGCTCATCTCTGCTTTCCCCGTCCAATCTTGTTCAAAACCCTCTTCTGGTTTAACGCTATCCAATTCCACACAAGCCCTGAAGTTTTCCGTCGAGAAGACACCCAATATTTCCTTGGATGCGCCTTCTGTCTTGTGGGTCCTAGAGACCTCTACAGACCCCGATATTCTTACCGCCGCTGCCAGGATGGTGATCGAAATTGAATGGCCGCTTGACCTCGATGTGTCGGGCGTTCTGGTACAGCTTCGTGACACATTTTTACGATGTTTTGAAGGTGTCGATTCTCGGCAACCACAGGTGTTAGCTTTAGGACGAGATCGGGCATTTGCATGTGGGAGAGCCTTACTTCACCTCTATTTCGAAAGGAATGGCGTTCAAGATAAAACAATACCTCCATTATTCAGGGAGAGTGTTATCGCGGAGTACGATGCCCCCCACCTTCCAAGGATCGAATGGCTCAACAGATCATCTTTGCAGAAGGTATATCAACAAGACACTGACTTTGGATTCATCTGCAATATGCTCGTAACAGTATTTGCACTGTCCTCAGGGCCTAGCTCTCTCCCCAACATAGTGAACATTTCTGACGAGCAGCTCTCGTGGTTCTCGCACTCCCTCCTCCATTGCCTATGTGACTCGTATCTTGAAACGAATGCGAAATATATAGTTTGGGATGTCATATCAAGATTACTTTCACCCCCCTTGCCAACGGGAAAAGTATTGGCCGACTGTATTTTGGCAGCCGGTTTGCTCATTGGTCTACCTGTGGAGCGGACAGAGCTAGTCAGGTATGACAAGAGGTGAGCTCACTCAAGTACATTCCAAAATCCACTGTCCTCTCATACATATGTCAGCTATTCTGTGAGTATAATCCTGAAAGCGGTCTTGTACCAGATCAGCACGGTTATTAGACTTCCTGACGACCAAGTACCCTGGCTAGACGAGAGGAGCATACTCGCATTGAGGATATTACAGCCTTTATCACAACTCTACGAAACAGCAGAGTTTCGATCGTTTTTCTTTGGTCCCCATACACCCGCTCGGTATCTCCGATTATCCGGAATGCTAGTGAAACTCGCCCTCAGACCAGGTCTTTCTGCTTCTATAGAAGAGCATGGCTTAGCCTTGTCGACTAGCGATATATGGATCTACGCCCGAACAACATTGCACTACGCCATAGTCACTAGCGAGAACAAATTTCCCAGGTCCGATGCTATCGAACGGATGTGGCGTATAGATGCCCTAAAGTCCAAGTTTGCTGGTCAACTGGATTCTACATGGTTGTTCGACTTCTTGGCACATTTCAGAGACCCTTTCGACGAGGTCGCTATCGCGGATGCTCTTCTCACGTTCAGCGTACTCCCCGACCTTTGCGACCATCTCAGACACCCTGGGTTTCTGGATACGATTATATGGGCGATGAGTCCAGACATGCCTATTCGAGTTCGCCATGCCGCTATGAAGGTTATTCACGAGGTCAAGGAGATGTTGTCCGAGTATGTAACTGACACGCCCATGCTTGCTGCTCTATCTTCTGGTCTTTGTTCGGCGGCTTTTCCCTCAAAAACAGACAACCTATCTCCACCCGACGACTTTCTATACGGCTGGCGAGACCTACATTACCTCCATATCGTGTATGCTTTTGCTCGCCACGACCAATGGCGCATCCACCTGTCCAACGACGGCCATTTTGAGCGATGCAATGCCCTTGCCCTCGCGTTGCAGCACGCCGAACAAAGCTCTATGCTAACGGAACAACAATCGGCGTACTTGGTGGCGATCTTCCACATAGCTGGTAGTGGCTACGCAATAGGTTTAGATGACAGCGTTATGTGGCTACTTGTGCATAATGCATGGAGGTACATCCTGTTTGGCTTGGGGTTCCTGGGTTCGGATGTACAGAGTATGCTTGCGATTGCGCACCCCATTACGGAGTGCACTATCGTCTTGATGTCGCGGTCTCAAGATCGCATCACAGAACAGCTGAAGGAGGACATACGACGATCTCTTACGTGGATGAAAGGGCCTATACAGGTGGATCAGCAGGCGTCGATGATAAGGTTGTTGCAGTGCCTGGAAAAGGAGGAAGAAAAAGAATTGGAAAAGGAATAGGACTTTACGCGCTTGTATACTATGTAGCCACGAGAGGGAAAGGACTTGTGGTTATAAGAGACAATACTTGTGATAATTCATTTCATGGCGAAAATACAGGATAGCTTTGTCTAGATGTAGAAGATAGAAAGAGATGTGAGAATCTCGGTTAACCAGTTGTCATTTGCACTGATTGCAAACCGCAGTGCCACTCAAGAAATCGAAATCCACGCTAAAGATGTAATAATAAACGAAAACTGGACACGAACTTGTCCTCATTACGCAGGCTGGACGAATATATCATTCTGTGCACCATTCTTGAAGTCGTAAAGGTCGTTATAAAAGGGTGGAGCGTATGTCCCTTCGAACATCTAAGGATACGATATATCTTAAGACAATATCATTAAATGCACGATAATCAGACTTACATTGTTCCGCTCTTGCTGGAACCAGTAAAGGGGCTGTTTTGCACCAGATGTGCAGTTGCCGGGAGTGGCTTCGTTTACACCGTGAGCGGGATCTGCCCCACACCGCCTAGCCACCTGTGGTTTTGCTAGAGCGGGGGCATCCGGCTTGGCACCGACGACGTTGCATTGGAAGCTATTCATATACACTGGAAGTACATTAGACTTGAGCTGGGAAGAAAAATTGAACGTTTGCAAAGAAACTCACTCTGCTCGGAGCCGCTGTCCGGGGAATGGATCCAGAACCAAGCACAGGTGCACATACCATCAGGGCACGAAGGCATATTGACCGGGACCTACGCAAACATACCATAAATCAAGCGTCCTCGAAAAGTTAGACTTGCAACGTACATCAAAGGTAGTAAATCTGTGCCAAACACACGTTTGATTCACACTGAATACAACGAAGTCCTCGGGGTTGATCTGACTGACGTCGGACTGTTGCACAATAGCAAGTGCGCAGCCCTTGACGTCGTTGATGCCTGTGGTGTGGAACTGCGATGAGGGAGATTTAGGGCAGGGCCAGTCTCCCTGACGCACATCGCCTCTGTAATAAAAATAGTTAGCCGATGCAGAATGGGGAAGACGAGTAACTATTTATTTACCCTTCAGAGGAGTTGTACCAAGTCGTAGCACCCTTGTTGCAACCAAGCTCTGCGATTACAGGCTGACCGGCTGGTAACTCAAAGACATCGTGCGGGTGAGGAGGATAGTCGAGATGGCCATGGAACCACCATTGATCAAAGGTCAGTCCGGCAAGAGGGGCGACAGGCCTGTTATCGTACGGAAAGGTCTGCTGGGTCACGTTGAAACCCCACATGCTGGGATGCCAGAAAGCGATGTGGGCAGAGATAGCAGGGACCAGAAAGGCCACTGTCAGAGTGAGAGAGTGAGCTAAGGAGTAAATCATGGTGGGCGGTGAAACTGATACTGAACTGAGGTGCTAAGACTTGTATTTATACGGGGAGGCATACTAGTGAGGAATGTTAAGAAATCTCAGTAGAATATAAATTTTATTTGTGTATTACCTTTCCGATGCGGAGCCTCTGCATGCGACTCTTGAACTCGGCGGTGACTGATAGGCCATGGATGCAATGAGATGATATTGAAATGTGAATACTATGTCAGTCAGGGTACCACGTGCCGACGAGGAAGGTTAGAGTAGCTAGACGTACAAGTACAGTGTGAGATTAGCATAGAAGCTTTAAACGGGGGACAGTCTAACCATATGAAACGAGGGTACTTCACATTGGAGGTTGTGTACCTGTGATACAGCTGCGATATCGAGTGTTTGTAACCAAAAGTTATCTGAAAACAGTTCACAGTAGGCAGATACTCTATGTATGCGAGTCGGTGCCGCAGAAATTCTGAGAGACATCCGCATGCAAGGGGCGGCGGCGTTAGTTTGTGAGATCTCAAGAAGCCGCAGAAATTAGGAACCTAGATTCACCGGATGTCAGCAAAGTCGTTGAAGGTACCTGAAACATCGTGCCTATGCTGAAAAAGGGGTGGTCAAGCTAGTGATTGCTGTGAGACCTGAGAACATTGGACAAATGAAGGCATCATGCTCACTTCGGAGTGAAGTCTAAATCCACATGAGATGATTGTTGGACCCGTCATATATATTATGACAGGCTGTAACCGGAGAGCGGACAAGCGGTGGCAAGTGTCCATGAATCGCATGCAGCGGGCGTTGAAGCTTTGAAGCTTGAAGACTTGCAGGGCAGCTAATATGGTTAGTAGCTATACGAGTTTTTGTTTGACAGAATTGCACAGAAGCTCGATAAGAGATAACCTGAGACTAGCCCACTAAGCCAAATATACGCATCGGTGATGTTCATGACAATTCCCATTATGCGCCGAAGAGCTATCTCTGTAATTGGACAAGACTGCAGCGCTGCAGGGCACTAGATTCAAGGAAAGATTCTCGAAGAATATACTTATAGCCAACACAGCCGAGCGAAAGGTACAGCATATAGCGGAGTTTTTCGGAGACTGAAAGAAGGCGTGACACTGCCATCTTAAGCATAAACAAGGTGTGACGTCAAGCGGAATGCCTCCACAGGCCATAAAGTGCAAAAACGCGATGATGAAACCCTTCTACACACCTCGACCTTCTCTCCGCCCTCATATTCCTCGCTTAAGGCATAATCATGGCTTCCTCCAACTATATCACAAAGGCTGGCACAAAACTGTTCCAGAAACACCTCGACCAATACGCTCCAGCTGACCCGCTTTACGAATCCTACACCGACAATCGAGGAAGGGAGAAGCGAAGAAAGGTGAGCTATCGTTGCATCTTCTTTCTTAACTTCCCCGTATTCCCTTCTGACGTCAGAACCAGCGTCCAGTTCCACCAGGTTTATCTCCACGAGACGCAAAGATTCTCAAGTCCGTCCAGAGGCGTGCACATTATCTCGACAAAGGATTCTCCGTCTGCGGTTTTAGATTTGGCTGGACCTTCATCATAGGTATCATTCCAGGTGCAGGAGATGTAGCAGACGTCTCGTTGAACTACATATTAGTCGTGCGCAAAGCACGCCAGGCCGAGTACGCTCTCACTCATCTTCTTGTCGTCCACCTAAAGCTGATTCCGAATTCATAGTTTACCAGCGTGGCTCGTCCGCCGCATGCTCCTCAACAATGCAGTATCTGCGATTTCTGGCCTCGTCCCAGTCGTAGGCGATGTCGTACTCGCGATGTACAAGGCCAATTCTCGCAATGCGGCTCTCCTTGAAGAGTTCTTACGTATTAGAGGAGAAGAATTTCTTAGATTGCAAGCTGAAAGAAACGAGGCTGCACAAAACAAGGAACAAGAACACAGTGAAAGTGCACCTATCAAGCATGATATCGACCAAGTTAAACCTGGCTCTGGGATTCCCGACGAGCCTAAAGCAAAGGGTAAATCCATCTCTTGGAGGGGAAGCAAAAGGGATAAGCAGAAGGCAGAAGGCTCTCAGGAAGGCAAAGATCGAGGGAAATTCATCGAGGATGTTGTTTCTGGTCCAGGTCCCAGCGCTGAATCTGGAAGCGGTACTTTGAAAAAGCAGAAAACATGATAATTTCGGTGTTGCATAGTTCGATGGACTGCTGGTTAGGTTCGAATAGGAAGTCTATAGTTTGCGGACGGTAATATGGACCAGACTCTCAAGGCTGTTCCTCCACTGACGGCGACTCTGATTTTGTATACCAATGTTTCTTTTGCATCTATGTTATAATTACAATACTAGTTTCGGAATAGGTATTACGAGTATTCTTCCGCCTATTTCTAGGGAATGTATCACCGCAGTTGTCCAATTGATTTACTGTACAAGTTGAATCTGCTTGGCTTCCTTCGGTATTCAGAATATACGATTATGAACTTGATGATCTACAATTCTGTTCAACAAAACAAGCTAACGAATTTATATAATACAGTCACGTCTATAGCATAATTGACTACTTCATTTTCCCTACGAAATACAAGTGCAAGTTAATAATAATAAGAGAACCAAAAAAGATACCAGAGGTAGGGTATGCGACAAGAAAACAATGGCAGAAGATGTCAAAACTCAAGAATGGTCGAAAACTCAAATAGGGCGCCACAAGCTAGACCGCTTGCTTGTGCTCAGTCTTCTACTGTGCCTATTTACGCCGAAGAGATTGTGAAGGGAAGACTGAGACGACGAATCGAAGTTTCGGCGGGAAAAGGCACTTCCGTTTCGTTTACTGTGAAAATAGATTAAGCATTTAGTCTAATGTAAGTTGTAATAACTGAGAGTGCGTACCATGTTTTGGGAGATCCGGAGAGAGTAGGTGAAGGAGTCGCACTGGTTGTGTGAGTAGGTGTGGAGGCGACGGAAGAAGCACTCGTGCTAGTCGCAGGCGTTGCATCACTGGAGTTGCCACCGGGTAGACTAGCTAAGACGGGCAACACAGTCTGATTTGCTGAAGGAACTGGCATGCTGCTATACGAATTTTGGAAAATATCATTCTGAGCGCCATCGCGGAAGTTGTACAGATCGAGATAGAAAGGTGGGGAGTAGGTGCCTTCGAACATCTACAGGAGAACGAATGAGCTCCGTGTTGTCGTGGGTATTTTTATATACGAGAACTTACGTTGTTGCGCTCAGTCTGGAACCAATAGAAAGGCTGTTTCGCGCCGTATGTGCAGTTCCCTGGAGCTGCATCTGGCTTCTTGTTCGCGGGGTCCGCGCCACAGCGTCGAGGGACTTTGGCCGCTGCCAGTGGAACGTTGGAGGTTGAGTTGGTGATATTGCATTGGAAGCTGTTCATGTAGTCTGATATAATGAAGCTTGTTAGAGGTAAGATCGTGTAACTGGAGAACGAGACTTACTCTGCTCTCCACCGCTATCTTGCTATATAAACGTATCTAATCAGTAACGAGAGACCAACAAACGATATCCACTCACCGAATGAATCCAAAAGAACGCACAGGTACAGAGACCTGCAGGACAAGGTGGCATATCAACAGGCACTGAGAAATCCGTAAACCGCGTCCAGACGCAAGTTTGGTTGATACTAAAGACCGTAAAATCCTCAGGCTGAATATCCGACACGTTATTCTTGTAAGCAATCGCAAGCGCACAGCCTTTCAAGTCGTCCAAGCCTTTGGTGTGATATTCTGACATGGGAGAGCCGGGACAGACGTTGTCGGGGTTGTTGGCCTCTCGGATGTCGCCACCTGGGTTACTGCCAAAATAGGAAGTGGCACCCTTGTCGCATGCGATTTCGGTGGTGACGTTTTGGCCGGCAGGGAGTTCGAAGACGTCTTGGGGGTGGGGTGGGTAGTCGAGGTGGCCGTGGAACCACCATTGACTGAAGTTGTAGTTCATTAATGGAGCGACAGGCCTGTTGTCGTATGGAAAGGTCTGTGCTGTGACATTAAAGCCCCACATGGAGGGATGCCATATTGCTAAGAAGAAATTCAATAATTTTTAGAGGCTGAAGAAATCAGTGTTGTATCGAATTACTCACAGGCATGTCCAGCAGCCAATGGGAGAAAACTGGATACGAGAACAAGTAGGAAAACAAACATTCTTGTCGTTCTATGTATAGCGTCCGTTCAGCTATGTTTAAAGGTGGGATCGCAGGAGGGAAGAGCGAAAAGAGTGTGCCGGACGTCAAGTCCAAGTATAGTCTCGAGAAAGAATGGATCGCTGGGAACTAGCTGGAAACGTCTAATTTGAGTGCAGGCCTGCGCACTAGGGAACGAATAGAGAGAATGGGGGATGGCTGTGGAATCCATGGTGAGGTTTATAAACGGACAAGGATTAATTTTGTACGGAACAAAAGGTTGAACGGATTTTTATTTTGCTATTGTCCTTGGCGAGGAACAAAAAATCATGTGGCGATAAGGCGAAATGAACGTGACATGACACAATGTATCTATGTGACATACGTCACACTTCCATGTGTGGTCTCCATCATTGTTAGCATCGTCAAGGAGCAGGATGTATTTCTCTCAAAAGGGATTTGAACTGACATTTTGTCGCCCTTTCTGTTTTTTTTTGTATCATTCTGTATCAGAAAGTGCGGAAATGGCACGTTGCGACGTCAGCTTGCAAAAGGAAGTTAGTCACAGTCACCAACCGTCACAGATCTTTATAAGTCAGCGGTTATGTGACTACTATATCTGGTCCGGCCGTTGTTTATTGACCGAGCCCCGAAGGCCTTTTCCGAATCCTTTCAACTTTTTCTGTGATCACATCTCGCTCGTCCGAGCCACTGTGACTTGTTACCAAGCAAGGAGTGGCAAGTCCTTTCAAAGGCTTATATCATATCATGATAAACCCACATAACCTGAAACTCGAATCTTAAAGCAAGGTGAGATGAACACGCGACCGACATACTTCGAGGGTGACAACTTAAACTTGTCTGAAGACATCGACCAGCTGCTCGTATCGTGGTCGGTGGTGTAAACGAATTGAAGTGATGAACGATTAAAGATTAAGAAGGTACAAAGATTCTACAATCTAATCTACGGACCTTATATGAATGTCTGTTACTTTATATGTTTCTTTATCCCTTCCCTTTGATCAAAGCGTGAATGTCCTAGGCTTCTGCGCGCTAAAGCAGCCCCTCTGGTGCTTAAATATGCGCTCGACGCTTTGAAGTCCACATTTCGGTTTATATGGAAAAGTGTGCCTCTTTCCACTACTACCCTGGCACCCACCCTTCACGCTCGTTTTGATTCTTATTATTTATCTCTCAACTAATCGCCATGGCTGAAACTCTTAACGAAGCTATTCCTAGCACCTCGTCCACCATCGCGTCTGAATATCTTCGTCCTGTCGAAGCTGGTCATTACTTCGACGTGGCGGGATTCGAGAAGGAGCTGGCCTCCTTTCAAGCGCCCACTGATGTAAGTCTCCTACACATCCTTTCTCTATGACTATCTTCATCGGCATGTCGTTTCCTTGTTTCAGTTCTTCGATGCCGTGGCGCAAGCATATGATTCGCGTTACTTGTTCGACCCCAGTTTCTTTGCTGACGCGATGCCTTCCGGTAACACCAGCGTGCCCTGGTCAGTCTTCGGGAAGGGGCAAGACGAGCAACACGCTGTTTATCAGAACTCTGCCGATTATATGGGTCTTGATTGGAATACCACTGGCTGGCATCCACGAACAAACCCTTACGAAGACCAGCACGGCGCGACTGGAGTCTGTCCTAAAGACATCGTGCCCTTTGTCCCTGTACCCTTTCTTGACGCAGGGAAAATAGAGCCCCAAAGACTGTCTTTGGATTTTGACGCGTTATTTCCTCTATTTTCCGAAACTTCGGGTGAAACGTCTACTATCAATCCAGGTTGGATCAACGAATACAACGCAAGCACCCCATTCGACCACCCATTCGACCAGTTCTCGCCTCTCAATGCACCAGAACTACCTCCGTCTCCTCCCTCCTTACATCCCGAGTCCACCTGGGACACTGATTCGGGGTTTGAGTCTGGTTCCGACGCGAGTTTCTCGCCTTGCCCTTCGGTTCCGCCACCTGCATGCAGACCTATCGCTCCGCTTCCGAGATGGAGTCCCTCTGCGTTGAGCTCCCTCCCTGCTGATAAGCATGCTCGTTTTGCCTCACGCAAGACATCAATATTATCCTCCTCTTCTTCGTCCAATGGCTACTGTTCCGAGTATGTAGAGACGCCTAAGCCCTTGATGACGAAAAGAAAAGCACAAGTACCTTGCGGTCCGAAACGCCAAGTCAAGAGGGTCAAGCACATCAATGACAACGAAGTCCTCTCTATATCTGCTACATCACGCCGGGTTCTCAACGCGAAAAATACAAATACCAACCAAAAATATTCCCCTAATACATCTCCTTCTCCCTTTTCACCTTCGTTAACTTCGATTCCACTCAACTACGTATCTTCTCAAAATTTCCAGCCAGAAACTACCATATCTCCAGAGGCTGACAAGGACGTTAAGGCCTACCAGAGTGTGTCGAGGCATAACCACTTTCCATGCCACCTCGATGGCTGCACCCACATTTGCACATCTGCGGGTGACTTGCGCCGACACCAACAGTCTCTCAGACACCAACCCCCCTCCTTCCCATGCTTAGCTTGTCGCTATACTTTTACTCGCCCAGACGCTCTAAAGAGGCACCTGATGAAGAAACCCGCTTGCAAAAGGGCACATCAGGTCGAATGTACGGCGGAGGGCGATTGGGGAAGTATTTTGTGCTGAGTCTTTCCTTCTTGAGTTTTGTTTTCCTCTCGTACATCTGAACGGTTAGCGTACCCCACAATTTTTGAGAAGTGCCTTTCTCTACCATCATTCATTTTGCTACCTTTGACTCGTGCATTTCACAACTGTCTTCATAGCATAGCTATCATTCTATCATTCTGTATCGACTACATTTAATGTACATCAAAGTACTAGTATACAACAAATTCAAAGCAGAAAAATCACTCAATCGACACCCGCTGAGATTGGAAGTGAGCTTCATCAATGACCGCAACTTTCATACTGGAATCCCCTTCTTTATAAACATCTTCCACAGAACGTTCGCCTGCACGGCCCAAACATCCCTGCACAACTCCACGAGACGGTCAACGTAGTTTTCAGCGAGACACTCCATGGTCACAATGAAATCCAAATCTCCATGTTCCATATATCTACCCGTTCTTTCCTCGCCACCAAAAGTGATTTGAACCCAGAGTTCCTGAAGGCCCTTTAAGAAAACATCAAGCCGCTCATGCTGTGAACCAAGGCCAAATCCTTTGGCGATGGCATAGAATGTGCCTCGATTAGCATGCATTGACTGTGGTTTGCACAGTATCAGATTGAGCGAGAGCACATCCAGCATGTAAAGTAGCTGGGCGGTAGAGTCGCGGTGTGGGTTGGAAAGCTTCATAACGATGGTCCCATTATCACGTATGGCCATCAAGGCAATGATAAGCTGCGCGATCTGCAAGCGGCAATAGTCCCAGTGTTTTCCATTCAACTGCATACGGAGATGATGAGCGTCCAAAAGAACGATGTCAAATTGTCGTTCTTGAATGCAAACAGGTATATCGCTTAGTCGAACATCCTCAATGCGTGTGGCGGCAAGCTGAAAGTAGGTTAGATCGGTATACGTGATGCTAAACCTCTCCAGGTCCTTTTCTGACAGGAGGGACATGTGTCCACCCTGTTCTACTTCCAAAGAAATGCCTAGGCCAGCGGCTTTCCGGTTGCTGTCCAGTATATAGGACGTGAATCCACCAGGACAACATCTATAAGGGTATAAGTTGACAAGGTTGTAACTCGGTACAATGCTCCCCGAAAACACATGTCACTCACCCTAGATCCAAGAACATAAACTCATGTTCTATGTTTGGTATAAAGTCCGATGCATGATCTATTTCGCCAAGTATGTTTTTCATTTTTATAAACCAGGCATAGTTTTGGCTTGGCCCAGCATTATCTGCCACATTGCGTTGTCGCTGAAAATGACCGTCAAGGGTTGTTGATCTCCATCCCTGAGTGGGGGTACTTATAGATTAGCCAAAGAAAGGGAAAAAACTGATAAGCCTCACGATGCGCTTAAGTTTCATGAGGTCGATAAACTCCCTGACTCCACGTTCTCTAATATGACTTTCGAGAACAAATTTGAGCTCGCCTTCTTCCCCGTCTCTAGTGTCGTAATCCGACCGCTCACATTGCAAGCGCGATGGGAGTTGGAAATGTGTATTCATCAGTGTGAGTAAAAGTGGGAGACGATAATGATACTAGCGGGTGAGCTCAAGATTATATAGCACAAAAGACGCACCGGTGGATCATTGCAAGATATTCTTGAGCCCATGTATGGCCAGAGTGATATCTAAAATGGGATTGGGGATTACTATTAATATATATATACGCGTTATGACTTGGATGATTGGGTAGATAACTGACTGCTTTTTGTGTTTGCGAATGTGAAGCGGATTTGACCATTTGTTTTAAATTATAATATAGAAGGTGATGCACGCGCACTTTCCATTATTCCCGATACGTAGGACCTTGAAAACCGTGATAGAGAATCGTCTCAGGATACGTACCATTAGAGGTAGATAGTTCTATCAGAATCAAACACTAAATACTAACAGAAAAATGGCGCATAACCTGGGCGACAGATAAACCTCCAATTGGTGTCGTGACGGCTTTATAAAATATAGAAGAATTTTCTATCAGATTTTGGTAGGTTCATCACCACGCTACACTTAAGTGGTGTATTGAATGCATTCGACTTCTGCCTTGGCTCGTCGTATAGTATTCTCCAGTTGCCTGAGATTAGAGGTGCTTCAGAAAAGTATTTTAGACGAGATGTAGATAAGACCCTACATATACTTATATTTTTACGGGTTTTGAGAACAGGACTAGTACGACTCGAACGCGCAGGCTGAGCTGGGTTTGTTGATTTGATACTCCGCGACCTTTGTTATATCAAGGTTCGTCTCAACAGCCGTTCAAAGCAACGTTGGGGCCTATTCACTTCCTGTGATAGCTCAAAGTATTCCATGTGATCATATCTCGCAAAACAAACCTATAGCTAGTAAGTCACTGGTTGAAAGGGTAACAACCAAGAAAATATTCAGTGAAAGGGCTTCGTCAATGGCCATGGTCTCAGTTTTCATACTGAGATTCCCTTCCTCCTAAACATGTTCCTCAGAGCTTCCGCCTGCACGGCCCAAACACCTCTACACAAGTCCACGAGTCGGTCAACGTAATGCTCGGCGAGACATTCCATCGTGACGACGAAATCCAGATCTCCGCGTTTCATATATCTACCCTTCCCTTCCTCGCCACCAAAGGTGAGTTGAACCCACAATTCTTGCAAGCCTTTCAAAAAGACGTCAGAACGTGTACACTGTGAGCCAAGGCCAAAGCCTTTGGCGATGGCATAGAATGTGCCCCGATTACCATGCATCGAAGTTGGCTTGCACAATATCAGATTGAGCGAGAGCACATCGAGCATGTAAAGCATTTGGGCAGGGAAGTCGCGATGTGGGTTGGAAAGTTTCATGACGATGGTACCGTTATCGCCAATGGCCATCAAGGCAATGATAAGCTGCGCAATTTGCAAGCGATGATAATTCCAGCCTACGTTTTTTGCTTGCTTGCGGAGATGATGAGCGTCCAAAAGGATAAGGTCGTAACGTTGTTCTCGAATGCAATTGGGTATATCTCTCAAGCGTTCATCCTCATAATGTGTGGAAGTAAACCGAAAGTAAGTGAGGTCGGCATAGATGATGTGGAACTTCTTCATAAGCTTCGGCGAAATGATGGATTCGTGTCCGCCACTCTCTACTTCCAGAGAAATCCCTACACCAGTTGCTCTCCGGTTAGTGCTCATAATGTACGACGTAAAACCGCCAGGACAACATCTTTGAAAATGAAGTCATACTTTATTCAAGTCATAAAAAACAGCGACATTGGACATATGCTACTCACCCTACATCTAAAAATGACATCTCCCTTTTAGCTGGTATACATCTTGATGCATCGTTGATTTCACTGAGAACGCCTCTCATTCTTATGAACCAAATTCGTGTCTCTTTCTCCCCAGAGTTATCGGCCACTATCCTTTGTTGTTGGAAATGGTGATCAAGAGACTCTGCTTCCCATCCCTGAATACCTATGTGTAAAGTCGAGAAGAAAGAGTTAAGGTAGGATGCCTTACCTTGCGCTTGAGCTTCATGAGCTCGACAAACTCATCAACGCCACGTTCCCTGATCAGAGGTTCCAGAGCAAATCGGTGCTCATCTTCCTCGCCATTTCCTTCGTCGTCATATTGTCGGCTCGAGATCGATGGCTGTTGTTGAGTACCTGCATCCATTGATGTTGATGATAGTGGCGTGATAAGAAGTCGGACTCTGGAGTACACAAACGTCTAGGAGTATATACTGAACCCCTAAGCGCCGTGGATCATCAGGACCGTTTTTGGCTGGTTGCCACAAAAACAAGAGGCAAACACCTGGGCATACCATAACCGCTTATGCACATCAAGCTGCGACTCACAGAACCACGTTGATCATAAATCGTCAACTGCCTTTGTATTTGCGACACGTGGACCGGATTCACCTACTACTAATAACTTTGGTCAAGCAAATCAAAGTTTACCGCATGAGTTGCATGACATGAATGACCAATCACACATTCTGTAATATGATTTCAGATTTTGAAGCAATAATACAGGATTCACACTTACCTTCCATAAATCCAATCCCAGGCAAATTTATCTAGCACCACTGACCGAGCCAACTTGAGACATGTACCAACATATTACCATCATTATCATAAACCAGCAGACATTACCAGAGTAGATTCCGCCATCATCATATCAACTAGGAAAGTGCTGGATAATTGCCGCAGAACTAAAATGTGGACAAGTGTTTTATACTCTTCGTGAGTATATGCAGCACAATCAGAGAGCTGCGTAATAACAAGTAGGGCGACTCACTTTGTCCTACTGACAATAACATGCTCGGCTTGGGCCATCGAGTACGTGTAACACCGATATGGGTCCGTGATACTGGAAATGCGAATTCCTTTTGCTAGGTGAGGCTCATGGTTCACGGATAGATCTTCCTCCGACTCGAACGACCTCGTGGTCTCTCACAAAATGTATTGTGGTCGGTCGTGTCGTGTTCCAATAGTACGACACCGCCCTATCGACATCACTGAGAACGATATGGTGATGCGTTGAATCCAAGTGAATCGGCTCCGATAGAGAAATTTACAGGCTAAGAAGCTCGTGTAAAGTCTGATACTGTCGGGCGCTGCGTTGGCTGAGTGTGATAGTTTCGTTGTTTAAAGTAAGAGCTTTAATGAAGCGGATACGACTTTATATTTCTGGTTGGCGCTAGCAGAATCAGCTTAAATGAATTATTGTAAGGGGAGTTCGCAGTGTGTTCACTCGGAGTAAATTGTTTTGAGTTAGTATTAGGCGAACAGTGTCGCGGGAATTGTCCAGATGGGCTTCTGGTTCCCACGTTCCGTCCTCGTCTCCATAGCCCTTCCATAGGACTAGGAACTCTAATTTGCCACGCTTCAAGCATGCATCCACCACCCGTTCGACTTCGAACTCTTCTTCACCTTCCTGGGTGACTACAACCGGTCCGGGCCGGTCTATACGCTGTCCCGGCAGCGGCCCTTTGTAGGGTTTCACACAGCTAATATTGACCGTGGGTACTACCTTATTCATTTTGGGAGTTCCAGCTCCACTGTGTTGGGTTTGACTTCCTTAATCCGGTAAGGGCCAATCCATTTTTCGGTCAGTTTTCTAGACTGCCGATCTTTTAACTTTAAGTGGCTGGTATCTAACCAGACCAAGTCGCCGACTTTGTAATCAGGGGCCTTAGAGCGTCTATGCTCTGCCCTGTTTTTCATCTGGGACTCAATAATAGAAGAAAGAGAAAAAAGCAGTTGTCGCATTGGGGCATTTTTAAAGGCAGCTTGACACCTGTCAAAACCACGGGTACTACCACAATTGCATGCAGCTGGAGGATAGAACAGTGGTCACTTTACTGGTGGTATCACAATACGAGGGTGAGACATGGCTGAGCATGGATCAGAATGACAAGATGATCATCATGATGTGCATGGAGCTCTGGCTATTTCACCAATGCTATGACACGCACCACCACTGACAATCAGTGAAGGCAGCTGAGATACTGAGTTGCGCTACGGATCACATGATCTGCTAGAGAAAACTTCTTGGTGTGATATAGTTCTTGACATGATTTGCACATTTTTGATTTTTGTCCAATGCGTCCCATCATGGAGAAGAGATAGTAACTTTGCTTGCCACCAAGTGTAACACTTTTCATCACATGATCATGTGATGGCATCAAAGGCCTATCTTATATTATCAGCACTCAGTAGTGTGACAAGCTCTTTTCAAAATGAACAGTGTTGCCAAACACATCAGCTCGTTCCGAAACTGGCCCGTTTCGAAAGGGCACTGTTTTGAAACGAAACGAGACTTTTTTGGCGGGCGACATTTCGAAACGGTGGCTGCCTAACGGGCCCAGATGAGTCAGTGAGTTTGAACTTGCATGGTGTATGGTCATATTTGTACAGTTAAGTACCACCAGGAATCATTTTTACCGATGGATGCTCACTCTAATCCTGCAAATAACATGTCTCTTTCTGAAGAGGAGAAGGATGCCTATCATCGTACTGAGGATCAGAAAATCATCGAAACAATTGGGGATTTTGATCCTTCGAAGAGGAGCATGCTTCCGATTGCTCTCGCCGTGTGTCGAGAAGAGGACCGACTCGATATCCGCAGCGCAAGGGATCTCCTAGGTAATGAACCAGACCTCAAGGTCGCATTGGAGAAAGCGTGGATCAAGAAAGAGTTCAAGGATATAAGGAATCGAGGTAAGTTTATTCCAGGCCCGCTTACTTGGCACGATCTAGCAACTTGCTCCCAGATATATTACGCCTTCCGAGTCAAATTAGAGAAACTAAAGAGAAATCTCAGTCGCATAAGGAATTAGGTAAGCTCAACTTGTGTGTCAAAAATTCAGTCTCTCACAAACGCTATATGATGTGTAGACAAGAGTAGTTACTTACTGCTTCTCTACTTCAGGAAGACGCCACTTATGTTTCTTTCACCAGTGGTCAAGTCAGCTTGGAATAAGGGATACACAGGGGAAATGCACACACTTCTCTTCGACAATATTAATGCCATGAACCGCCGCTCAACTTACTCTGGCTTTGCATTGATAGTCCAGAGTTCGGGCACGGGGAAGTCGCGGATGGTCCACGAACAGGCTAAGCTCGTCTTCACTCTCCCCTTCAATTTGCGCAGTGAGCGAGATGACCAGTGTAACATTTTACGTATGATATTTAGACGTATTCACTGTTTTGAAATCCTTTGGTTAGTTATGCCTTATCCTGGGCCCGACAACAATGTCCGCCAATTCCTCGTCGGATTTCTGTCTAACCCCGGTGGACAGGGGGTTTCAATGGCCAAGATAAACATAACCCTTTTTCTAGGAAAAATCTATCAGCTAGCCGCTGAACAACTCAGCTCGCTGCTGAATGGTGGCCGAATGAAGCGCCAAGAACTTGCCGAGTGCTGGTACGATTCTCTTCAGGCTAAAGGAAACCGTTCAACGCTTTATGAAGCTGCCCTAAAAGGTACCAAGGAATACCTATTACACTCGGTGTGTTTCTTCGTTTAGTCAGACGCGAGTGCTTTGATTAATGTGAAGGTATCCTCCTGCAAGAACGATGGGGAAGATATCAAGTCGAAAACGAAGGAGTGGCTTGTTAAACTCGTCGGAACCATCACGGAACATATAACTGATGACGTTCCGGATGATCAATGCGTGAAGGTTATGCTGTACTTTGATGAAGCTCACACATTAATACCTTCATCTGACCAGGAGCCACAGATCAATGTTCTTGAAGTACTGCAGTCGTGTCTGGCTGATACGCATAGGAGAGCCCATTTTGCCTTGTTCTTGTCGACGGTGTCCAAACTACAAGACTTTGCACCTGTACAGCACCTGGCCAACTCTGCACGTGCTCGAGCGCCCGGCCCGCTCCAGGCACCGATAACAGAGGTGCCGTTCGATTGCTGGTCAGGCCTCCCAATTTGTCCCCACCTTTACAAATTGGGTGATCTTTCGAAAATTAGGTTTATGGCTCGGTTCGGTAGACCTCTGTGAGCTTCTCAGCGTTTAGACGTCCGGCATTGATTGATTTTGTCGCTTATTTCCAGTTATTGGGCTCTACTGAACGAGTTGGTTCCTGACAGTGAGGAAATAATGTTGGATTTGATTCGAGCCAAGATTGTCGGTCGCAATGTTCCTGAAAAACTACCGCCAGTAGAGAAGCAGCTGAAGGAAATAATTGTACTTTTAGATGTGCGGCTCTTGCTTGATTACGAGCTATACCGTGACATGACTATCAATCACGAGGCCAACCTGGTGGCGAGCCACATGCGTATGAATTACTCCGTCCCAGAAACTCGAGAGTATCTTTGCTCTAGCTATTCTTCCGAGCTGGGAGTTCAGCCGAAGCTGCCTCTTGGATCTGGTATAAACTCCCAAGTTTACAAAAATCTTGCCAAAAAGACTGCTCCAAGGGCAGTACAGTCAGTCCAGATTGTTGAGAGAGGTTCACATTCTACTGCCAAGAGACAAAAACTAGACCATTTAGATACGCCGTCGAAGATTCACGTTATCAAAGGAGGGAAAATTTGCCATCACCACGACCTTCATCCCCGTTACAACATCTTTGCTTACGGCTGCTCGAGTACCGTTTATAACCTGTTGGACCCTAAAAACGCAATGAATGTTGATGAGGAAGATGAGGGAGGTCAACTGGCTGGCTTCGTCGTTACGGGTTCCATGGAGGATACTGACACATCGGCCTATGACGATGTGTTTGAGACTTAAAATTGCATACATGCCTCCATAATCCAGAACACCTATCTCTCTGCAATGTTTGTACAATGTAAAGTTTGGATAGCTGCAAAAATAGTAAACCCCGAGGATAGAAACATAGCTAGCTGGGTCTGGAATGAACAATACAACAATACAAACTAAGATGTTATAAACTTCTGGGAAAGCTGATGATAAAATTCACGAGAAGTAAGTTTGCTAGCGCTGATATGTCCAATACTCATAACATACTCATATTAAGCACGATAAATGTTCTTAACAAGACAGGTTCCAGACAACATTATACCACCTCACAATCAAAACAAAGGCCGTCGGGCAGTAGGTGCATGTCATGTCATTGAAAAATTTGCTGTGCAAGTTGTCGGAGGCTTGATTGAAGGGGACATGGAACGATTGGGTGGCCTTTTCTTCTCCGAGCCGGAAGACCTTGCAAAAACGCATCTCACATCTTTCAATTTTAATGCTTTCGTTTGCCATGTACAACAAACAGCTCCGCTTCTATGGGACCTCCTTGAGCGAGCAGTTTATAGTAGAAAACAACGGGCACAAAATACCCACAAGTTGCCTACAATGGCATGTTGTCAATAACAGCATATGTGGCACTACATTGATACACCTCAGAAAAAGCACCCTTGGCAGCACTTTCAAGAGGTTCCCAGGGTCTTACAGACAGGGTTTTTATGTTAGCAATAACCCATCTGTAAGACCACCCTCTCTCCAGATGTGAGGCAATGATAAACTATAACAAAAACAAAACCTGTCTCCTTCTGCACTTGCAGGGAGTAAGAGGTTTGATGAGCTTTGAGGTCGACAGACGCTAGTAAACATAGCGAGTAGAGGACTTGGGAGGTAAGCTCAAGGGTTTCGGTTGAGGAGTAAAGTAATAAAACTAAGTGAAACTCAGCCGCTGCCCGAGTGGCAATAGAAACGACTTTATTATTTACCTAAGTGAAACTACAATAGATGTTAGTTTATCCGGTTTTGTCATAAAGTGGGTAAATTCAGTAATAGAAAACTAAGGAACTATACATGAATAGGTAAGGCTTTATATAGCTAACTGTCCGTCCCTCAGACCAAAAGGAGAATAAACGAAAAGTGGTCTGAGGAATAAATCGTCCAATAAGAAAAAGAGAACAACTATTGTACGACTTTGACTTGATTAATCAGCGGGTGAGAGAATTATACTAATAATAGGTGTTTTTGACGCATGTTCAGGAACCGTATCCTCATGATGAGGTACGATCCTGAACAAAGTGTTTGTTAGTATGTCCAGGCCTTAATGGGGCTTGGAGCTGGTTGGCGAGATGCCTACTACCAGTCCCTACCCATTGTGCTGGCTGGCTGGGAGGGATACCCAGTCTCTGATCTGTGATATAAAGTGGTAACGGTGGTTAAGAAAGCCTGTGAGGGCTATGAGAAGTAAGATGGCAAATGATACCTCTAGCCCTAGAGCCAGAGGTGTAATGGGAAAGGCGTTTGAGAACCAAGACATAGAGAAGATAAGAAAATAATAAAATGGTTCTTACACCAGAGGGTTCCCCTAAATTCCCAATATATTTTTTCTTCTACAATAATTGTTTCAAGCACTTGCACATACATATGTAAATAACACCTCCTAAACACTATAATTAATGTTATAAAAAAACATAAACTTTGACCCTCTTTACACAGTCTGTGAGGGCCTCTGACAGATCTTGCTGTGAGCCTCCCCATCAATCCATTCTAGTATTTATTGCAGAGTATACCTCTCGAGAGGATCCACAGAGGCTTCTGGTAGTGGTTTAGGCTGTATGCCAAGTATAGTAAATTAATTGCTTATAGGGGCTCAAGAGGCTGGAGGGATAGTGGGTCTCAGAGACCTATTTCTCACGACATAAAAACCCCATCTGTAAGACCATGGGAACCTCCCCGAAGTGCTGCCTGAGGTGAGAAAGAGTCGGATTTTCCACGATCAACATGTGGCAAAAATCTAGACATTTTCGCCACATGTTGATCAGATGTTAATCAGATGTTGAAGGATTGAAATGTGATTGAAATGGGCATATGTTACACCACATATCGATACACATTTTGACAGTCTATTCATGCATGAATATCTTAGAATTCCATTATATTTACTGATATTGTACATATTATGTAATTATCAAATTACCATATCTTATTCATATATACCACTTGTTTGTTGGCAGAAATGTTCTTATAATTGTCCCTAGCTTGGGATTGTCGTCCTCGTTGATGGCAGGCAACAAAATATGATCTGTTCTCCTTTATATATACAAGTCTGACAAGAAAAAAAACCCCAGCCTGCAAAAACCCCATGTCCTCCACACCAAACCAACGGCTCAATGCTTTAGTTGAGCTTGTTAAAGAGCTAAAGGCCGACCACAAAGGGTTTAAAGGGCTTGCAGCAAAACAATTCCAGGTTCTGAGTGCCAAGGTTCAACTCCTCCAGACCAACAATAAACATCTGAAGCATGAGAATCAAGACCTTAAGAAACAAATCAATGTAATTACTGATATATTAGGTGTCCAGTATGTTGACAACAAAAATGCTGGCAAGGATAGCGATGACAGGACAGTGTTGGAGGGCTCCAGTGATCTGCCGGAGGCAGTGTCCCAGATCCCTAACAATGGTGCAATGTCCGCTGACCAAGCACAGAAGAGTCTTGATGCTGTTTCGTCAAAGCCTGTCAGAGTGAATGTCGAGATAGAAAAAAGACTCACCCACTAATAACCCAACAAGGATACAATCCTCAAGGCTTTGTCCCATTACATGGGGATAAGCAATGTCCAGCCCAAAAATCTACCCGCCTTCCCAATCAGCATATCCAAAGATCACCAAATATGGCCTAAGGATCCCTCAACTTAGAAACTGTATCACCGTTACAACTGGGCACTTATTGCAGATGACACCAATGCGGAGTCTCTTTAAGAGATCTGGGTCATGGATAATGCACCCACTAAGATTCCAGAGGCTGGCATTATAGATGAAGTTGAAGCCAGGTGCAATTGACTGAGTTGATATACTGTCTTCATGATTGAATGAAGAGTCTATCTTATGGCGGTATTGGATTGGATTTTGATTCATCTTCTACTGTACAGGACTTAGTCATCTAGAAAAGTATGTATTATTTCAAGATGTACAGGTCTACAAGTCGAAAAGGAAAAATGCCTAAGTCCTCAATGGATATCTTGTCAATATGCACCAAAAATGATAGTCTCGTATCCAACCATTTCTAGGATTGTTGCATGTGGCGCCCTGCAAATCAGCACAGCCACAAGATGTTACAATACACAATTTTTGGACCTTTAAATTTCATTCTCCTCTTTAACTTTCTTCTGTAGTTTTCACACACTGCCATGCAGCACTTTCCTTTATTCAAACTCCCCTTTTCTCGTGCTGCACTGCTTTTCTTCATTTATAGCTACAAGTCTCTCATGCAGTGGAGCTGGTCACATGGGCTGGGCCCTATGACATCATCAGCCACTGCTTCCATCAACTGTATAGTACACATGTACATGTTAGTTTTGGTGATTCTGCACCTTTGTGCTACCTATATATTTTCATTCCTTTCTCTATCTATTCTTCTATCATTCACTATTGATTGTGTTCTCTATTATTTCGCCTTTGTGGCTGCTTTGTTTACCTTTGTTTACCAAACTTCGGACAGTATTGCAGAGTCCAATGCTTCCTATTCTCTAGTTACTCACATTGGACTCTAGGTACTGTATACCTGTCATACTCTCTAATAATAAAGTTACTCACATTGGAATCTAGTTCCAGTCCCTGATTGCTCTCAGCAAGTGGCTAGACACTTCCTTCAAGCTTTGTTCTTAATAGGTTATAAGCCCTGTGCTCTAGCCATCTTCCTGACCTCATATCTCACCATCCAAGCGTCCTACTGCTTATCCATCGTAACCATTGTCTTCTGGGACTCTTATTATCTCATCCATCACCTCAGATTACTCTGATCTCATCTTGATCTCCAACAACAACTCCTTGTTGCAAGTTACCCCCATTTCGGACGCTTTTTTGGTCTTATCTGCACCATATCTCGCCCAATCCTTATCTGATCGTCCTGTAACTTCTACCATCGTCTTCTACGGCCTAAATAACCCTAGGAGACCTGTCAGAGTGGTTGGATTTGAGCTGGATCTTTCTGTGAGCCTTCATCATCATTTGATCACCTTTTGGCCCCCTATTCCATATCTCCACATCCTGTGCTCGGATCTTGGCCCTATTTGAGCCATCTACTACCCTATACTATTGCACTTTACACCCTCAATTTGGGGGCAATCCATCCACTCCATCATCCTCTGTGAAGTTCGCATTTTTGGCACTTTCACCCCTATTGGACCCCTATTGCATATCTCCACATCCTGTGCTTCACTTCTTGTGATATTTGGGCCATCTATTACTCTATAAAAATGTTCCCTATACCTCTGATTTGGTGGCAATCCATCCATCTTATCTGTCTCTGCATCAATTTCGACTTTTTGCCCTAATTTTCGCTTTTTGGCATATCTGGTGTGTGCATAAAGCTCCAATCTTCTCTACTCTGTCCATTATCAGATAGAACAAGCCTATAGACTGTGAAGCTTGCCTGCATTGCCTCAGTTTGCTGTTGCCTAGAGCCTCTCTCAGTCTGCGGTGTTTGGGGAGCTTAAGTCACTTTGTTGACTCATATACAAGCCCTATTAACCAACACTGTCTCGAGGCGATTTCTCTGTTAATATCAGTGTGGAATTGAAAGGGGAACACAGGCGTAACCCTGTAGCAGCACTAGGAAGCCTTAGCACCCTCCTGGATCGCTTTTGGACGCTTTTTGGACCCTATTTGGACCTATCCTTGCGCTTTCTGACCCTCTCCATATCCTCTCTCTACCGCCTCACCATCTTATCTGCTCGCCTCCTACTGTAGCCCATTGTCTTTGCCACTATTCCATCGCCTATAGCCGTCTCCTACATCATTTATCATTGCTCTATTGTCTTATACAACACCCATCATGTCTGACTCTGATCCCAAGTTCCATCCCTTGTCTGGCACTAACTACCCCCAGTGGAGTGGTGAAATGCAAGCTTGGTTGATGACCAAGGGACTGTGGAGGCTCATCTCTGGCGCTGAAAAGTGTCCTGGGACTGACACTGAAGCAATAGAGAAATGGGAGTTGAGAGCTGAAAAGGCTGCTGGTGCATTATATCTCAATGTCACCAAAGAGCAGCGCATCCATCTTGATGGCATCATTGATGATCCTGTCAAGATCTGGGAGAAACTGGCAATTGTGCACGTCTCTAAGAAGCCTGGGACGAGATTTAATGCCTATGACGACTTCTTCTCTATCAGAAAGAAGGAGGACGAGTCCCTGCAGTCTCTCATGACCAGAATTGACGAAGGCATGCATCAGATTCAAAATCTTCGTCCTACTGGCTTCTCATTGTCTGAATTGGACGATGAATTGACATGCATGGCCATGATTAGGGCGCTTCCTGATCAATATGCCCACTTCACTTCATCTCTACTACTTCTGGGCACCTTGGACAAGACCCAGCTCAGGGATGCTTTCCTTGCTGAAGAGGTCAATTGCCGTCGTCGTGCTGAAGTCGATTCTGCCTTGCATTCTTCGTCTACTACTGCCAATAGCACCTGCACCCATCCTAACTGCCATCATTGCAACCAATCCACCACCTCTACTCGTGTTCAGTGTGATTTCTGTGGTTTACTTGGTCATACCCAAGACAAATGCCACAGATACATTGCTAGTCGCCAACAGGCAGTGGAGGGTGCTAAGAATCGCTACAAGCGTGGCAATAAGGCTCAGGCAGGCTCCAGCAACTCTCAGAATACCTCTCAGCAGCCCAAATCTTCGCCCAACAATGCCAATTCATCTACTGTGGTCACTGAATCAGCTGGGAATGCAAGTCTTCGTTCCATTCATCCCTCTGATCCTCATTGCCCTCTCCAACTTGATGCTGACATTGATTGGAATGCAGACACAGGCGCCACTTCTCATATGACACCTCATCGTCATTGGATGCACCACTATACCCCATATCGTGTGCCAATCAAGCTGGCTGATCACACTGTTGTCTATTCAGCTGGTGTTAGTACTGTGGTGTTTAATCCTGTGATGAATGGCAAAGTGGCTAGGGCTGTGGAATTCTCTAGAGTGCTCCATGTACCAGATCTTCGAAATAATCTCCTCTCAGTCTTGTATTTAACTCGTCAAAGTGGTTTCAATGTCACTATTTCGTCTCATTCCATGTCCTTTATGTGTGACAACACTCTCTTGTTCACTGCAACTATCAATGACAACAATGCAGCATTCCTTGATGGATCTACTGCTGCTTGTGTTGAATTGGGACATTTTACTGCAACTATACCACTTGATTTGATGCTCTGGCATCGCAGATTGGCTCACCACCATCATGCTGATGTCAAGAGACTGATACAGAGAGATCTGGTCACTGGGCTTACACTGGAATCCAAGGCTGCTCCTGATCCTGTCTGTGAACCGTGCTTGTCTGGCAAGATGCATGCCAATCCATTCCCCTCATCTGATACTCGCTCTGCTCATCCTTTGGACCTCATCCATTCTGATGTACACCAAGTCTCTTCCCCCACATTCTCTGGTTATCGCTACTGGGTCACCTTCATTGACGATCACAGTCGATTCCGTGTTGTTGTGCCTCTCAAGGCCAAGTCAGATGTCTTTGATGCTTTCAAGAGATTCAAGGCTTATGCTGAGACTCAATTGGAGCGTAAAATCAAGGCTCTGCGCGATGACAAAGGGGGAGAGTACATGTCCAAGGAATTTGAGCAATTCACAGATGATCATGGGATTGTCAGACAGCATACCACCAGGAATCGTCCTCAGCAGAATGGTGTGGCAGAGCGAGCAAACAGACTTCTGACTGAGCGTATCACTGCCATGTTATCAGAGTCTGCATTGCCTAACAGCTTCTGGGGTGAATGTCTGTCCGCTTTGGTGCATGTCTGGAACAGGTGTCCCACTGATGCAGTGGCCCATGCCACTCCATTTGAGTTGTGGTATGGACGCAAGCCTGACATGTCTCACCTTTGCGTTTGGGGCTGCACTGCCTATGTGCATGTGCAAAAGGACAAAAGAGGCGTCTTTGGCTCTCATATGGAGAAATGTGTGTTCATTGGTTACCCTGAGGGATACAAGGGATGGAAATTCTACAATCCTACCACCAAGCACACTGTTATCTCTGAGAGAGCTGATTTTGATGAGCGCTACTTCCCTGGCTTGAAGAGGTCTTCTGACGATGTCCCGCCTCCACCTCCCACTCCACCTTCGCTATCCATGCCATTGGGCCTGATTGAGGATGTCCCTGCACCAGGTCCAGGGGGAGATATGGGCCCACCAGCTGCGCTTCAGCAGCCTCAACCATTGCCTGACAATGGGCCTCATTTGGACCTTGATGCAAAACCACCTGTGAATCAACCTCCTGAGCTTCCAAATCACCCTCCTCATCGCTCACCTTCTCCTGACTTGCCTATTGCACTGAGACGCCCTGTAAGGGCTAGGAGACCACCTAGACCATGGTGGCTTCAACACAGACAACCTACTCCTGCCATTGAGAGTGATGACAGTGATTCTGAGGCAGTTGATGATGAAGTGGCACACTTTGGAGACTCTGCTGAGCCTAGGTCATTTGCAGATGCAATGAAGCGTCCTGATGCAGATAAATGGAGAGAGGCAGCCATGG